GGCCCACTCCCTCAGTGGGTTCTCCATTTTCAGTGGAGCCCACTCCATTTCTCAGAGGAGCCCACTCCATTTCCAGTGGTAATAATCTCATCTGCTCCTGAAGAAGCGAGAGTATTGTCACGAAATGCATCAAGCCATTATTATGTTTTGACAAATACTTGGAAAAATTGAATTTCTACATGTTTGATTATGTGACTATCGTATAGATTGTATACCGATATATGGTAGTGTTTACAAATCAGCTTGCCTTTTTTTTTTATAAATTGTTTTATTTATGTACAGAAAGATTTTCATCTATTGTGCAATACATTTTTTTTTGCAAATGTTGTACCTCAATAAAGTCCCATCAAATATGTTCCTGCTCTTTGCTCTATGCAAGTGCAGAAAAATGTGTGTTGATCCTGATGGAAATCTAATGTCCTCTCAAATCTCAAACCAATGTTATCAGATTTCTCAGATATTTTTGTGTAGATGTAGATTTGGTGTAGATTCGCTTTAATTTATTTAACTCTAAAATATTTTCTATTTTTGGCACAGTGCCGCATTCTACCACCAGAGTGAGCACAAGTCCTCCCAGCAGCACAAGTCCTCCCAGCAGCACAAGTCCTCCCAGCAGCACAAGTCCTCCCATCAGCACAAGTCCTCCCATCAGCAGCACAAGTCCTCCCATCAGCACAAGTCCTCCCATCAGCACAAGTCCTCCCATCAGCACAAGTCCTCCCATCAGCACTCCTCCCATCAGCACAAGTCCTCCCCATCAGCACAAGTCCTCCCATCAGCACAAGTCCTCCCAGCAGCACAAGTCTTCCCAGCAGCACAAGTCCTCCCAGCAGCACAAGTCCTCCCAGCAGCACAAGTCCTCCCAGCAGCACAAGTCTTCCCATCAGCACAAGTCCTCCCAGCACAAGTCCTCCAACAGAGAACTTAACGTTTGCCGTGACGGATGTGACTTCTCCACCTACAATTCTTGGTGAGCACCTTCTCAAAATATACTTTTCTTTAACAGAAACGTAGTTTACTATAGCTTAGGAGTACTCGTTGCTCCATGTGTTACTGAACAGTTGGAGCATCTAGTGTCCGGTGTCTATAGACCCGAACGATGAACTCCTCTTTTTGCTCCTTTTCAATCTGTTAAATTTAGCATTGGAAGCATTTTGTTATCTGTCATCTGTGTGCAAAGAGATACCCGTTGGTCTTGCCAAAAAATTATAGCTGTCCTTTCTCTTCTGCATTTCTTCTCTTCATTTCTCCGTAGAGCCCACTCCATATCACAGAGGAGCCCACTCCATTTCTCTGTGGATTCCACTTCATATCTCAGTGGAGCCCACTCCATCTCACAGTGGATCCCACTCCATTTCTCTGTGGAGCCCACTCCATCTCACAGTGGATCCCACTCCATTTCTCAGTGGAGCCCACTCCTATCTCAGTGGAGCCCACTCCATTTCTCAGTGGATCCCACTCCATATCTCAGTGGATCCCACTCCATATCTCAGTGGATCCCACTCCATATCTCAGTGGATCCCACTCCATTTCTCAGTGGAGCCCACTCCATTTCTCAGTGGATTCCACTCCATTTCTCAGTGGATCCCACTCCATATCTCAGTGGATCCCACTCCCCACTCCATTTCTCAGTGGATCCCCACTCCATATCTCAGTGGAGCCCACTCCGTTTCTCAGTGGAGCCCACTCTATATCTGAGTGGATCCCATTCCATATCTCAGTGGAGCCCAGCTGATTTCAGTAGATCCCACTCTATTTCTCAGTAGCTCCCACTCTGTTAGTGGAGCCCACTCTATTTCTCAGTGGAGCCCACTCTATTTCTCAGTGGAGCCCACTCATTTCTTAATGAAGCCCACATCATTTCTCAGTAGACCCCACTCCATATCTTAGAGGCGTCCACTTCATTTCTCAGTAGATCCACTCCATTTCTCAGTGGAGCCCACTCCATTTCTCAGTGGATCCCACTCCATTTCTCAGTAGATCCCACTCCATTTCTCAGTGGATCCCACTCCATTTCTCAGTGGATCCCACTCCATTTCTCAGTAGATACCACTCCATTTCTCAGTGAAGAAGCCCACACCATTTCTCAGTGGACCCACTCCATTTCTCAGAGGAGCCCACTTCATTTCTCAGAGCCCACTCCATTTCTCAGTAGATACCACTCCATATCTCAGTGGAACCCACTCCATTTCTCAGTAAAGCCCACTCCATATCTCAGTGGATCCCACTGCATATCTCAGTGGATCCCACTGCATATCTCAGTGGAGCCCACTGCATATCTCAGTGGAGCCCACTCCATTTCTCAGTGGATCCCACTCCATTTCTCAAACAGAGTCCACTGTGGCTCTGGTACGACAAGTGCCACAACGAACGGGTCGTCACTGTCACCCAGCGGTGAGACTTCAAGGACAATTGTCTACAGCGTCCAAGCTTTCAACAGCTGGATTCTTTTTTTATTTGTGTTTTACTGCTTTTGTTGTATTGTTCTAAGTTGGATTTTAATCAGATCATCAATTTTTAAGAGTAAATCTTTCTATTTTCTAAATCACAGTGTGAAACTTATACTTTTTATAAATATATACTAAAAAATGCAGCGCAATACTATATATTCAAATAATAAATATACAAAAATCTTGCTCCGTGACAATTTATAAAATACGTTTATACTTAAATCATATCACCTTATAATAAGCATCTAAACATGCTCCATCCCATAAATTAATGTCCATACTATCCATGCGTTTTCTGAAAGATATTCACTGTGCGTTTATATATTAACAATGTCCGATAACAATGAATACTTCTTAATCAACCATCCCTTTTAAGACCTCAGTGCTCCTGGTGATATGTGCAAAATCTTCCTCCCAATATAAGTATTATATATTATTATTCCGGTGATTTCTTGTGACCCCAGTGTTATATCCTCTCTCCTTTCTCCACTTCATATGTATGTCAGCTGGGTACAACTAAGACTCCATTGTGTTCAAAAGTCTTTTCTTGTGGATTCATCTCTCTAACTTCATTCCCCACTTCCAGACGGACACTTTTACCGCCCTTCCTGACCAGGGCACATTTTCAGCTCTTTCAGCGTTAATCACACTTTGAATGCACAATTGCGAGCGGTCATGCCACACTGTACCCAAATGAATTTTTTTCTTTACCATTTTTTTGAGACAGATAAAGCTTTATTTTTGGTGGTATTTATTCACTGCTGGGATTTTTTATTTTTTTTTTGCATATGTAAATGATAAAAGTCCAAAAATTTTAGAAAGTGTTTTTTTTTTTATTTTGCAAAAAATAATATTTTCAATCATATATCTTGGCTAAATTTATTCCGTTATCTTTTTAGTATAAAAAAAAAAATCAAATTAGTTTATAACAAAACTTATAATTTTTAATTTTTTTTTTTACATTTTTATTTTATTTTTTTATATTATTTTTTATTTTTTTTTATTTTTTGTTTCTGTACATACTGTCAACCCCTTAAGCAGTACAGTGTCTCACCATGGTGACACTGTACTACTTGTGGGGGGTGATGAAGATTTTTTTTTTTTTTTAACACTGATTGCTTTTACACCCATATAGGATGTACAAAGCAATCATTTCTCTTCTCTCTGTCTGTCATTCTTGCAGTCATTGAGAAATACAAAGTGAGCTATTGGTCCCAGTGTCATTGGTACAGCTGTTGTGAATAGCCTAGTATAATTGTTCACCCCCAATATAGATATACCTCCCCCCCCCCCCCCCCCCCCACCACCCCCCCCCCCTACATGGCTGTTGTGAATAGGCCTTGTACCATGTGACCTCTGTGATCATTCACAGATTTCACACATAGTAAGCAATGATGTCACAAGTGACATCTTGCTTACTACTTTGCATGTGTCACTGATTCGCCAATCAGTGATCACATGATCGGGACTCGTACAGAGGTCCCGTCTCGACGATGCGGTGTTTCTCTGTGTCCGGAGGACACAGCGGGCACAGAGATCGCGGTGCTGCGCGCTCCTGGGAGCGCGCACAAGCAGGGTGTGGGAAAGGCCGTTTATAACGGCCACCGACCCTGCGTGCCACGCGCCTGCCTTTAACGTTTTATATACAACGGCCAGGTCGGGAAGGGAACTACTTACAAGCAATATGAGAATTACTAATATATTACATGGATGTCCTATGTATTAAACCAGTCATAATGTATGTTTTTGTATCATTTATTTTAAAAAAAATGTACATTTTTAACTGTACTACTTTTTCTTGCTACTACATTTTTTGTGAATGTGCCTTTTGAAATAGTGCCTGCTACACATTATGCTGTTGAGGTCATTGATTGTTCGGGATGTTGACACTTGAATTCCTAGATTACACATCTAGGGCCTAATATTCCTGCTTTGTTACCTCTAATTTTTGCACAAAACTGTAAAAATAATTCCAATAAAGCTAGTGTGAATGTAGAAAAGGTTGTCCTTCATCACTGGTTCTGCTGCGGTGGAAATGAAAGTCGGATTTTTACTTGGGAACTGAACAAATCGTTCATGAAAGGATAGTTTTTGAAGCAACTTTTTCTGGTACAATGGCAGGCTTTATTTGATAGATTTTTCCAGGTCTGACGCTAACTCCAGCCGCCTGGAGAATCAGGAGGGACCGCAAAACTATGCAGCGATAATTTACCTCTGTTTAGTAAACTGATCTTTTACTGTAATCTCGCAAGATTATAGTAAAATCAGACCATTGCAGGTTTGGGCGACCGTTCTCCCTTCGTTCGGAGAACTGCTTCATAAAAGGCATTCACAGGACAACTGTGTTCTCCGAGCATGCCGGAGAACTGAGCAGCGATCTATTACTGCTGGTTCATTACGGGACACAAAATCCATTGGACCAGATACTTTTCAAGTGTTCCTATAAGAGCAGCTCAAGTAGGCAGACTTTTTTCCGTTGCAGACATCTCAGCACAACGGCGGCAATAGTCCAAAACAGCTTCTCTCATTCGTGGCCAAAAGGAAACGATCCTCTGCATTCACTGATATCTGGTCTCCTTGGACCCTGCATTCACTATATCTGGTCTCCCCGGGACCCTGCATTTCACTATAAATCATATAAATGCTGCGCTACATTCAAAACTTAAGGTGTATGTGGAATCCAATGACATAAATCAATATTTGACAATAAAAACCATATAAATGCTGCGCTACATTCAGACTAATTTAAGTGAATACGGGGTGAAATAAAATAGCTCAAATAAAATAATAACAGTAATGATAAATAAAGATGTGCTAAGTGATAACACAAAAATGATGGCAAAACACAAACTTAAATCAATACGCATATGCATGAAAATTTAAATCCCAATAGCATTGTGCATGAAAAAATGCTCATACATTATATTACATTCACACGTGCAAAAAAAGTGAAGTGAAATTACATTAAATAATACACGCAAACTCAAAGTCCAATAATGGAATCTTAAGGTGAAATAAAAAGTCCATTAATGGAATTATCAAGGTGAAAGAAAAAAAATTTTTTTGTTTTGGTAAACTGTGTTTCCAATAGGCTGTAAAGTGACCACAAGTGAAGCAAAACGTTGCCAGGTATATGGGGGTGTAGATGAACTTGTGAATCCATCAAACACCTTCTGGATTAGCCTCTCACTCTATCACTTCGACCCTTGCGGGTCAAAGAGCCTGTTTGGACCCTCTCACAGATCATCCAGGCACCAAAGCACTCCAAAGCCCACTTCTCAGGGATACAATATTCCACTCAGCTCTTCTCCAAGTGTAGATGAAATATTCTCTTTCCCAGAATAAAACAAAGGGATCCTCCATAGTGTAGTAAGTGTATTATACCATAGGAACATCAGAAATGTATATAAAAAAGCACTCAAGTAGCAGCCAGTCCACATTAAACCTCATGCTCTCAAATGAGGATATGTGTATGTAAGTTGGGTGTACAGCTGAATTCCACAGTGTGTACCCAAGATGGCCGCCACGCCGGAAATACGTCACCGCGCTACGCGACGCGTGTTACGTCACAATATCACGTGACTTCATCAGGGCTGTCAATCACAGTGGACGATAGCTCTTTATATAACCGGCCAGGATAGAAGTAACCTCACCCACATCAAACCATTCAGCCTAATCGCAACGATACTTCCTGCAGCCATTAAACTGAAGACCACTGGGGACTATTTTGCAAGGATGCCAGATTACAATTACAATGGGCACATTTACACAGAAAAATTAAATTAAATTTTAATATTTTTAATATTTCTTATGAGAATATTTTAATAGTTTTTTTCATAAAGGGACAACTCCGAATAAACTCAACACACAAATATACTATCTGAAAGCATGAGTTTACAATAATCAAATTAAAAATTAAAAAATTAAAAATCTATACCATAGCACCATCTCAAATTGCACTCAGAATCAGAAATAAAACAATTTACATCAGCAAACTCGATATTCAAACCATTAGGGAAATAAGTCTGCATACTATAAAATCCACTTGGATTCTAATTGGCTCAGAGTACGCACTTTATGACTGCCTCGCCAATGTCTCTTGTATATTTGTAATACCCCAAAATTTTAACTTCACTAGGTCTTTGTTATTGGACTCACTTGGGCAAAATGCTTAGAGACGCTATGTTCGGGAAACCCCTTCTTAATATTTGTGTACGTGTTCCCGGAGCCTGAACCCAAATGTGGTTCGTTTAGTTTCATCCCTATATATTGCAATCCGCAATACATATGCAGCGCGTACCACAACTCCCTCTGTCCTCCAAGTAATTTCACATCTTCAATTTAAATTATATTTTGATCGCAGATGCAGATGAAAGAAAAAGTCCACCCATCACAATTTCTTATTCTTGCCCCCCTTTCTGTAGCTTTGTCACGCATACAACAGGTTCTACATGGAAAAAACCCCCTTTATATCCAGAAGGTGACATTCTTTTTATTAGGTGGATCAAGAACGTTTTTAACGATTTTCATCTCTTAATGACAGGGGCTTTTCTATATCTGAACTCTGGGGAAATCTGATATTTTAACTCTTTCAGGGCCGGATCAGCTTTTCAATAATGACAATTTTTCTAAAGATAGTTTCCACTTTCTTCATAATGGACATTGAAGTCTAAAACATATTACAAAGCTGATCTTTCTGTTCCTCTCTTTTTTCTCATGATCCTACCAGCAAAAACGTCTCTATTAGTGTTCCCAACTTCTTGGATCGTGTTACTAATAGAATCTTGCTGATAACCTTTGGCTTTAAACCTCTGACTAAATTCTGTGTGCTTTGACTCATAAAAGTCCTCCTGCATCGTACAGTTTCTCCTGAGTCTGATCATTTGACCTTTAGGTATGTTTAATACCACGGCGGGAAGTGGCAACTGTCTCGAGGGATGTATCCATTCCTATCAACACTCTTAAAGAATGTCTTAGTGATAATTTTGTTTTGTATGATTGTTATATCTAAATCTAGGAAGCTAATCCGCTCACGGGCTATGTTCCCATGTAAGAACATATTATTTTTATCATTCCCCCTATTTAAATTCTCACAGAAACATAATAAATCCTCATTTCTCTTCCTTCCATATTAATATGATATCATCTATATATCTTTTAAACAAAATAAGTTCTTTCGGAGGACTCTAACTAACTGCCATCTCTTCCAATGTGCCATGAACATGTTTGCCCACACTGGGCGCAAAACGGGCTCCATGGCCACACCTTAATTTGATTATATACAAAACATGTTCATATGCCAAACGTAATTATGTGTTTTAAAACAAAAATTCTAAACAGTCCCCCCCCCCCCCCCCCCCCCCCCCCCCCCCCCTCAAAACAAAATAATTTATTTTCTCTGCCCTCTTTTCAGATTTCCATATTTTTCTATAAAACCCCCATTTCACGTAGCTTACATCCACTTCTGTATGACAATGATCGTGTATAACGATGAGACGTCAGCTGTGCCAAGATCACATCATTTACATCTACATTCTCCAAAACAATTGGATTAGGTGCTTGGTATCTCTCAGATACGACCTAGTCAATTCTTCACCACCAATCAATTAGGATGGCTAGGGACCACGGTATGAAGGGAGTAGTTCCCATCCGGTTTATAATAGATATGAACCATTGGTACTATTGATTACCAACAGAGGAATTTTTTAGGGAAGGAGGGTGGGGAGAGAAAAGTCCCGGAAAGAAGTATGTGCCATTTTCAAGTCACGGAAGACGAGAGGATGCTAAGAGCAGGACGGAAGGTGTCCAAGCGAAAAAAGAGAGTAGTAGGAGAGGGTATTATTTTAATATTAGTGGTACTACACTCCCACCAAGGAAGAAATTCTCGTATTGGATAAGGGATTGAAGTTTGCCCCTCCAAAACCAGCTAAACAAATTTGATATTTTCATAGACTTACAGGACAATTCATCAGCCTGAAAGGTTAACATCAAAAAGTACTTTTATGGGTCTGTCTAGTACTCAAGAATGTGACTAAAAAATGCACCAGTTAGTGATATTCAACATAATCATCGATTAAGGAATAAATCCTTATTTAACCCTCAGATCAGCAATAATTGACAAATAGAATCTTTAAAAAAATGGGTAAGCCAAGATTTGGAATCCCTCAAACTCGACCTAGTATTTCGGCCTAATATAGACATGCAAAAGGGAATTAAGATGTTAAACACAAAGAAATGACATGAGTGGTCAGGCCGGCAGATTAGGGAGGGGGTATTGTGGTCATGTCAAACGAGAATTATTATTTGGAAGAAGCTGGGTTACCCAATTACAGTGATAATAATACCTACGAAGTAATTAAGAAGGACCCACGGTTAAATCACAAGAAAGATCTAGAAAGGTGATCAAAGAGGATGTGAGAAGGAGTATCTGAGTAAAAAAGAAGCCAGATATCTTGTTCCTGAAATGTGTAGAATTCCCATTATCTATACCTATCCCGAAAATCCATAAAAATAGTATTTGCCATCCTCGGGACGTCCTATAGTTAATGGGATTGGATCTTTTAATGGCACGATCTAGTTAGGGCAATCGTGGATATGTTTCTTCTCCAAAAACCATTGGTGAGATTGACTAGGTCGTATCTGAGAGATACTCCAAGCACCTAATCAATCCAAATGTTGGAGAATGTAGATGGTAATGATGTGATCCTTGGCAACAGCTGACGTCTCATCGTTACACGATCATTGGTCATTACAGAAGGGATGGAAGCTACGGAATGGGGTAGGTTTAAGAAAAATATGGAAATCTGAAAAGAGGGCAGAGAAAATATATTTTGGACTGTTTAAGAATTTTGTTTAAAACATAATTACTTTTGGCATATGAACCCATGTTTTATAATCAAATTAAGGGTGTTGTGGCCATGGGAGCCCGTTTTGCTCCCAGTGTGGCAAAACATGTTCATGGCACATTTGGGAAGAGTATGGCAGTTTATTTGAGTCCCTCTCCTCGAAAGAACTTATTTTGTTTAAAAAGATATATAGATGATATCATATTAATTATGTGGAAGGGAAGAGAAGAGGATTTATTATGTTTCTGTGAGAATTTAAATAGGAATGATAAAAATATTGTTCTTAGACATGGGAACATTAGCCGTGAGCGGATTAGCTTCCTAGATTTAGATATTAACATATACAAACAAAAATTATACACTAAGACATTATCTTTAAGAGTGTTGATAGGAATGGATACATTCCTCGAGACAGTTGCCACTTCCCGCCGTGGTTATTAAACATACCTAAAGGTCAAATGATTCAGACTCATGCGGAGAAACTGTACGATGCATGGAGGACTTTATGAGTCAAGCACAGAATTTAGGTCAGAGGTTTAAAGCCAAAGGTTATCAGCAAGATTCTATATTAGTAACACGATCCAAGAAGTTGGGAACACTATAGAGACGTGTTGCTGGTAGATCATGAGAGAAAAATGAGGAACAGAAAGATCAGCTTGTTATATGTTTAGACTTCAATGTCCATTATAAGAAAAGTGGAAACTATCTTTAGAAAAAAATTGGTCATTATTGAAAGCTGATCCGGCCCTGAAAGAGTTAATATCAGATTTCCCCAGTTTCAGATATAGAAAAGCCCCTTCTTTAAGAGATAAATCGTTAAAAACGTTCTTGATTCCACCTAATAAAAAGAATGTCACCTTTCTGGATATAAAGGGGTTTTTTCCATGTAGAACCTGTTATGCGTGCAAAGCTACAAAATAGGCAAGAATAAGAAATTGATGACTTTTCCTTCATCTGCGAGCAAGAAAGAATTTAAAATTGAAGAATGTATTACTTGTAGTGGACAGAGGGGGAGTTGTGTACGCGCTGCAATGTAGTTGCGGAATGCAATATATAGGGAGAACTAAACGACCACTTTGGGTCAGGCTCCGGGAACACGTACAAAATATTAAGAAGGGGTTCCGAAGCATAGCGTCTCTAAGCATTTTGCCAAGTGTCATAACAAAGACCCTAGTGAATTAAAATTTTGGGGTATTACAAAATACAAGAGACATTGGCGAGGCAGTCATAAGGTGCGTACTCTGAGCCAATTAGAATCCAATGTGGATTTATAGTATGCACTACTTATTTCCCTAATGGTTTGAATATCGAGTTTGATGTAAATTGTTTTTATTTCTGATTTTCTGAGGCAATTTGAGATGGTGCTATGGGTATAGACTTTTTTAATTTTTTTAATTTTTAATTTTGATTATGTAAACTCATGCTTTCAGATAGTATATTTGTGTGTGTGAGTTTATTCGGAGTTGTCCTTTATGAGCTGGTGAAGGATGTAGTTACACCAACTAAAAGCAATATTCTCTGTTCTATATATATAAATATTTCAAAAAACTATTAAAATATTCTCATTAATGAAATATTTAAAATATTTCTTTTAATTTAATTTTAATTTTTTTATGATTATTTAATTTGTAGGATTATATATATACGTATGCGTCCTTATACGCAGAAGTATATGTATAATTTCCGTTTTGTGACAATTATATTTATACAATAATAGGTATGGGCTTTATTGGCATACATGGTTAGAGATCATTATATTTTGGTCTATAATTATGTGAGATATGGTCCTTTTTTTATATATTTTTATTTTCAGTTTTTTTAATAACAATTAAAAATATTTTTCAAAAGGGAATGGGCATTAGGTTGTTTTTGTTTAATTACTTATTACTTACATTGCAGGTTGGTACATTATTATATTTTTGTCCTGTGTAAATGTGCCTGCTGCAGAAATCGGTATCTATATTTTTTGTTATGTTTCTCTGGTGCATCATTATACACTCTTCGTTTTTCTGTGTAAATGTGCCCATTGTAGATGTAAGTCTGGCATCCTTGCAAAAATAGTCCAGTGGTCTTCAGTTTAATGGCTGCAGGAAGTATCGTTTTGCGATTAGGCTGAATGGTTTGATGTGGGTGGTTACTTCTATCCTGGCCGGGTATATAAAGAGCTATCGTCACTGTGATTGACAGCCTGATGAAGTCACGTGATATTGTGACGTAACGCGTCGGCGTAGCGCGGGTGACGTATTTCCGGCGTGGCCGGCCATCTTGGTACACCTGTGGATTCAGCTGTACACCCAACTTTCATACACATATCCTCATTTGAGAGCATGAGGGTTTAATGTGGACTGGCTGCTACGTGAGTGGTGTTTTTTATTATACATTTGATGTTCCTATGGTATAATAAACTTACTACACTATGGGAGGATCCCTTTGTTTTATTCTGGGAAAGTAATATTTCATCTACACTTGGAGAAGAGCTGAGTGGGAATATTGTATCCTGAGAAGTGGCTTTGGAGTGCTTTGGTGCCTGGAGGATCTGTGAGAGGGATCCCTACTGCTCCTTTGACCCGCAAGGGTCGAAGAGATGAGGTGAGAGGCTAATCCAGAAGGTGGTTGGATTCACAAGTTATCTACACCCAGATACCTGCACGTTTTGCTTCACTTGTGGTCACTTTACAGCCTATTGGAAACACAGTTTACCAAAACAAAAAAATTTTTTTTTTTCTTTCACCTTTATAATTCCATTATTGGAACTTTTTTCACCTTAAGATTCCATTATTGGACTTTGAGTTTGCGTGTATTATTTAGATGTAATTTCACTTCACTTTTTTGCACGTGTGATGTAATATTATGTATGTGCATTTTTCATGCACATGCGTATTGATTTAAATTTTCATGCATATGCGTATTGATTTAAGTTTGTGTTTTGCCATCATTTTTGTGTTATCACTTAGCACATCTTTTATTTATCATTACTGTTATTATTTTATTTGAGCTATTTTATTTCACATTCACTTTAATTAGTCTGAATGTAGCGCAGCATTTATATGGTTTTTATTGTCAATATATTGATTTATGTCATTGGATTCCACATTCACTTTAAGTTTTGAATGTAGCGCAGCATTTATATGATTTATATTCACTTGATCACTGGTATATGATTTAATGCTAGCAGCTGTTTGGGGTTCATATATTTTATTTGTTAATTGTTTAAAACACAATATTTGGAGCGCAGGAGGGTCACACCACACCTGCATTCACTATATCCGCTCTCCCGGACCCTGCATTCACTATATCTGGTCTCCCCGGACCCCGCATTCACTATATCAGGTCTCCCCGGACCCTGCATTCACTATATCTGGTCTCCCCGGACCCTGCATTCACTATATCCGGTCTCCCCTGACCCTGCATTCACTATATCCGCTCTCCCAGGACCCTGCATTCACTATATCTGGTCTCCCCGGACCCTGCATTCACTATATCTGGTCTCCCCGGACCCTGCATTCACTATATCCACTCTCCCAGGACCCTGCATTCACTATATCCACTCTCCCAGGACCCTGCATTCATTATATCTGCTCTCCCCAGACCCTAACAATACACACCAAACTGAGCATGTGCAGAGTGACTGCACACCAGGGCTCTTTTGCTCTCGGGGATCGTGGGGGAGCGCAGTTCCACCCCTCCTGCACTGGATGTATATAATGGCAAGAGGTGCTGGGGGTCTATTGATGCTTGCTGCTAGGGGGTGTATTGTTGCTGGTGGGGGATCTGTTGTTGCTAGACAGGATCCTTTTTTTCTGGGGGTCATTTGTTGCTGCTGGGGGTCCTATCTTTCTGGGGGTCATTTGTTGCTGCTAGGGAGGTCCTATCTTTCTGGGGGTCATTTGTTGCTCCTAGGGGGGTCCTATCTTTCTGGGGGTCATTTGTTGTCGCTAGGGGGGGTCCTATCTTTCTGGGGGTCATTTGTTGCTGCTGGGGGGATGTCATATCGTTCTGGGGGTCATTTGTTGCTGCTAAGGGGGTTATCTATCTTTCTGGGGGTCATTTGTTGCTCTTAGGGGGGTCCTATCTTTCTGGGGGTCATTTGTTGCTGCTGGGGGTCCTATCTTTCTGGGGGTCATTTGTTGCTGCTAGGGAGGTCCTATCTTTCTGGGGGTCATTTGTTGCTCCTAGGGGGGGTCCTATCTTTCTGGGGGTCATTTGTTGTCGCTAGGGGGGTCCAATCTTTCTGGGGGTCATTTGTTGCTGCTGGGGGGATGTCATATCGTTCTGGGGGTCATTTGTTGCTGCTAAGGGGGTTCTATCTTTCTGGGGGTCATTTGTTGCTCTTAGGGGGGTCCTATCTTTCTGGGGGTCATTTGTTGCTGCTAGGGGGTACTATCTTTCTGGGGGTCATTTGTTGCTCCTTGGGGGTCCTATCTTTCTGGGGGTCATTTGTTGCTCCTAGGGGGTCCTATCTTTCTGGGGGTCATTTGTTGCTGCTGGGGGGGTCCTATATTTCTGTGGGTGATTTGTTGTTGCTGGGTTGGTCCTATCTTTCTGGGGGTCATTTGTTGCTGTTAGGGGGTCCTATCTTTCTGGGGGTCATTTGTTGCTGCTAGGGGGGTCCCTATCTTTCTGGGGGTCAATTGTTGCTGCTAGGGGGGTCCTATCTTTTTGTGGGTCATTTGTTGCTGCTAGGGGGGTCCTATCTTTCTGGGGGTCATTTGTTGCTGCTAGGGGGTCCTATCTTTCTGGATGTCATTTGTTGCTCCTAGTGGGGTCCTATCTTTCTGGGGGTCATTTGTTGCTGCTAGGGGGTACTATCTTTCTGGGGGTCATTTGTTGCTCCTAGGGGGGTCCTATCTTTCTGGGGGTCATTTTGTTGCTCCTAGGGGGGTCCTATCTTTCTGGGGGTCATTTTGTTGCTGCTAGGGGGGATCCTATCTTTCTGTGGGTGATTTGTTGTTGCTGGGTTGGTCCTATCTTTGTGGGGGTCATTTGTTTGCTGCTAGGGGGTCCTATCTTTCTTGAGTCATTTGTTGCTGCTAGGGGGTCCTATCTTTCTGGGGGTCATTTGTTGCTGCTAGGGGGTCCTATCTTTCTGGGGGTCATTTGTTGCTGCTAGGGGGTCCTATCTTTCTGGGGATCATTTGTTGCTGCTAGGGGGTCCTATCTTTCTGGGGGTCATTTGTTGCTGCTAGGGGGGTCCTATCTTTCTGGGGGTCATTTGTTGCTGCTAGGGGGGTCCTATCTTTCTGGGGGTCATTTGTTGCTGCTGGGGGGTCCTATCTATCTTTCTGGGGGTCATTTGTTGCTGCTAGGGGGTCCTATCTTTCTTGAGTCATTTTGTTGCTGCTAGGGGGTCCTATCTTTCTGGGGGTCATTTGTTGCTGCTAGGGGGTCCTATCTTTCTTGAGTCATTTGTTGCTGCTAGGGGGTCCTATCTTTCTGGGGGTCATTTGTTGCTGCTAGGGGGTCCTATCTTTCTGGGGGGTCATTTGTTGCTGCTAGGGGGTCCTATCTTTCTGGGGTCATTTGTTGCTGCTAGGGGGGTCCTATCTTTCTGGGGGTCATTTGTTGCTGCTAGGGGGGTCCTATCTTTCTGGGGGTCATTTGTTGCTGCTGGGGGTCCTATCTTTCTGGGGGTCATTTGTTGCTGCTAGGGGGGTCCTATCTTTCTTAAGTCATTTGTTGCTGCTAGGGGATCCTATCTTTCTGGGGGTCATTTGTTGCTGCTAGGGGGTCCTATCTTTCTGGGGGTCATTTGTTGCTGCTAGGGGTCCTATCTTTCTGGGGGTCATTTGTTGCTGCTAGGGGGGTCCTATCTTTCTGGGGGTCATTTGTTGCTGCTAGGGGGTCCCTATATCTTTCTGGGGGTCATTTGTTGTTGCTAGGGGGGTCCTATCTTTCTGGGGGTCATTTGTTGCTGCTAGGGGGGTCCTATCTTTCTGGGGGTCATTTGTTGCTGCTGGGGGTCCTATCTTTCTGGGGGTCATTTGTTGCTGCTAGGGGTGGGTCCTATCTTTCTGGGGTCATTTGTTGCTGCTAGGGGGGTCCTATCTTTCTGGGGGTCATTTGTTGCTGCTGGGGGTCCTATCTTTCTGGGGGTCATTTGTTGCTGCTAGGGGGGTCCTATCTTTCTTAAGTCATTTGTTGCTGCTAGGGGGTCCTATCTTTCTGGGGGTCATTTGTTGCTGCTAGGGGGTCCTATCTTTCTTAAGTCATTTGTTGCTGCTAGGGGGTCCTATCTTTCTGGGGGGTCATTTGTTGCTGCTAGGGGGGTCCTATCTTTCTGGGGGTCATTTGTTGCTGCTAGGGGGTCCTATCTTTCTGGGGGTCATTTGTTGCTGCTAGGGGGGTCCTATCTTTCTGGGGGTCATTTGTTTGCTGCTAGGGGGGTCCTATCTTTCTGGGGGTCATTTGTTGCTGCTGGGGGTCCTATCTTTCTGGGGGTCATTTGTTGCTGCTAGGGGTGGGTCCTATCTTTCTGGGGGTCATTTGTTGCTGCTAGGGGGGTCCTATCTTTCTGGGGGTCATTTGTTGCTGCTAGGGGTGGGTCCTATCTTTCTGGGGGTCATTTGTTGCTGCTAGGGAGGTCCTATCTTTCTGGGGGGGTCATTTGTTGCTGCTAAGGGGGTTCTATCTTTCTGGGGGATCATTTGTTGCTGCTGGGGGTCCTATCGTTCTGGGGGTCATTTGTTGCTGCTAAGGGGTCCTATCTTTCTGGGGGGTCATTTGTTGCTGGGAGGGATCTACTGTTGAGGGAGGGAATCTATTATTGCTGGCTGCTGGAGGGTTTAGAGGTTTAATGTTGCTGACTGGAGGGTCTATTGTTGCTGGATAATTATTCTTGCCGGGGGGGGGGGGGTGAATTGTTGCTGGCAGCAGAGGATCTATCTTACCGCTTTATCTTTAACAAATTCCAAATTACTTAACACAACAATATGATACTTGGTTCTATAGTCTCTAAAAGGGGCAGTCCTGGGAGGTGGGTAGGAGGGGGAACCAAGGGACGGTGCTCGGAGGTGGGTAGGGGGGGCGGAGACAAAGAGATGACACAGAAAGGGGGAATTCATGCAACTATTCTCTGAGAAAAAAAAAGCCCTGCTGCACACGATATGTCTTTTCAGGAGATAAGAGGGGGACACTGGAAGAAGGGGAGGATCAGAGAAGACAGGATCAAACAGCCTTTTTACACAGTGCAGAGGATTATCCCCTTAGGTTCCACAGTGAGTACTTACTTTACTGCATCTACAGACTGATTGTACTGTTGTGGGTTTAGTAACACTTTAGAGGAAGCATTCAATGCTTGTGACTTGAGCAATTAATACTTCGTGAATTTCCTGTATAGCCTTATGGGAAATTTTCCAATTTCTCAACTTGCTTTCTAAACATCGGCCGTGTTATGAGAAGCACAGATGAGATGTTTCAACACGGAGCCCAATCAGATGCCCCCTGTAATGTGACCCATTGTGGGTGTAGATATACCAATAGTGACCATTCTTTTCATGTCTTCACATAGGGCCACGTCTTCCTTTAAGGTGCAAAGATCCAGATTCATCAATCTACGTGTTTTCGGTGCAGTGCCATTAAAAGATAATGAACGGGGACTACTTTCCCTGTGTTTCTGCGGGTAGGGAAGATCAGTGAAATGAATGAACTGGCCTACACACAGATATAAGCACTTTGGGGTGCTCACCTCCACACTTCAAACCTCTTCTGCTCACCCCCACACCCTCCTCTCTGTTCACCTCTGTTCACCTCTGTACCCCAAAACCCTCTATCTGCTCAACTCTATACCAGAACCCCCTTGTCTTCTCACTTCTGTACCCTAAACTCCCTGCTCATTCCTGTGAGTCAAACCCCCTCCTCTGCTGTCACCCACACCCTCCTCTCTGCTCACCTCTGTACCCCAAAACCCCCTATCTGCTCAACTCTATATCAGAACCCCCTTGTCTGCTCACCTCTGTACCCTAAACTCCCTGCTCACTCCTGTACCTCAGACCACCTCCACTGCTCATCCCCACACCCTCCTCTCTGTTTACCTCTGTACCCCAAAACCCCTTATCAGCTCAACTCTTTTCCAGGACCCCCTTGTCTGCTCACCTCTGTACCCTAAACTTCCTGCTCACGCCTGTACGTCAAACCCCCTCCGCTGCTCACACCCCCACACCCTCCTCTCTGTTTACCTTTGTACCCCGAAACCCCCTATCAGCTCAACTCTATACCAGAACCCCCTTATCTGCTCAACTCTGTACCCGAAACTTCCTGCTCACTCCTGTGAGTCAAACCCCCACCTCTGCTGTCACCCCCACCCTCCTCTCTGCTCACTTCTGTACCCCAAAACCCTCTATCTGCTCAACTCTATACCAGAACCCCCTTATCTGCTCACCTCTGTACCCAAAACTTCCTGCTCACTCCTGTACGTCAAGCTGCCTCCACTGCTCATCCCTACACCCTCCTCTCTGCTCACCTTTGTACCCCAAAACCCCCTATCTGCTCAACTCTTTACCAGAACCCCCTTGTCTGCTTACCTCTGTACCCTAAACTTCCTGCTCACTCCTGTATGTCAAACCCCCCTCTC